GGTCAATATTTTATTATAATGACTTAATTAAAAGAAGTGTTGATGCCCAAGATTCTTCGATATTGATGTTCTGTAGTCACCGAGTCCCCTTGAAAGCAGGAGCATGCACAGATTACTGAGAGCATCACTGCCTTTTGAATGGTGCTAGCCTCAAAACTCACACAGAGCTATTTCCTTCATATCTAGAAATAGACTAAATCTGATTATTCCTTGGGTCTGCTAACAACTGCTATGCTTATATTTGAACAAGAGTTAGCTAATAGTTATTAAAAGCCTAGTATTTCCTGGAACCAAGGACATGTCTTCCAATTTTCTGATACATTAACATGACTCTGAGATTGACATAATTCTTACTGATTTCTGCATATTCTTTTGCCATTCTTCCTTATCACGTGCTTTTATATTTCTCAGTTTCCAAAAATTCATATAATAGTCAATATAGGAAACTCATTTTCATATGAATTTTCACACAGTACAAATCTTTGACAGAAAGAAGATAGCCCAGCTGCTATCATCTCCAAAGTATGGTAGTGACATACAAGTTTCTGCACTACCATCCACTTAGCAAACTTCAGAGTGTCATTGTAAGAATGGCCATTCCCAGTCAACCCTGAAGACAGTAATATCACATGTGAAGGCCTAGAAGAAAGTGGACATTATCCATTTCTCTCTTCTCCATCAGTCACTTCTCAGTCATTATGTTTTTGTAATTTTCCACCATTGTCACCAAGATTTGAATGGGGAACAAAACCTATTAAATTATACACAATTTTCATTCAAATTTCTGTTATTTCTAATACATTTTTTACTATCACAATATTTCTTTGCATTAAAGAGTAGGTGCAGTTTGTACAGCATAGCATTTACAAGATAAGAATTTGAGCATTGTTAAGGAGCGCTCATACAGTCAAGCAGTTAATTGCAGATTTGAGAACATAAAGTCTTGCTTTGCCCAAAGAGTTCAGGAAATTTGACACCCGTGGGTGCAATCCATATGTTACAAATCTTATGCAGAGCAAGGTGGAGAAATCAGGTGTTTCACTCTCTAGGCCAATATTCTCTTTCTGACCCACCAAGTTTCCTTGATTCCAGACGATTGATGTTTGTCAGTTTTGGTCAGTCAGTTGGTGCCAGGGATCAAATTCAAGCTCCTTCATATGCTAGGCAAGTGTAATACCCCTATGCTATACCCGCAGCCCTAACTGTCACAGGGGAAACCACAGAGAACACATGCTCTGTCTCTTTCGGTTCCATGGGGGCTGAAGTGCTTTCCCTTGGAGGAGGTTTAGCTGTGGGTTTTTCCCTTCTGGGTTTCACACTGAGGTTTCACACTAAAAGTGAAACTGCTCCCTAGTCATAGAAAATTCGTTTGGTTTAAGGTCAAGTCCACAAACAACTGCTAGAAATTAACAAGTTTCCAGAGAAAAAGCCAATTGCTCATCTTCTATATTTTGGAAAGGAATATCATCTGGTATTTACGTATTTTATTCCAATCAGCAGCACCACATCATACTAAAGGTTTGAGACTGAAGGGGCATTGGCTTAAGCAACTCACATTCAATAGATATTTTGAGCATGCTTTCAGTTTTTCTAGGAGGAATTAGAAACTAGTATTGAAGGCAGGATCACCTACTTCATGACATTAGAAACACAGTCATTGAAAATGGCAGTCACTTGCTACTTCCTGAGTTAAGACTTTCCTTTAATGGATGTAAGGCACATATCATTGGTTTAGATCAGCAATTTCATCTTAGCATGGTGTTGGCATCATTGTTCATATATATTATCAGGAATCCAAAATACAGCAGGGATCTCATGTGTAAAAGATTGTGTAAGATTGAATTCTTGTATCAGGACCAAAATATAAAGTTATTAATGTGGACCTGAAGCTAAACAAGCTCTAGTCAATTTTTCTTTATCTTTCTTTTGCTTTTCATAACACCCTTTGAACTAAGATCAAAAACTCAAGAGAATTTTGAAATAGTTGATACTTCAAGAAAGAACTGACAAATACTGTAGTTTCCATTGAAACTTGAGCATACGTTCTTAGCTCATTCATCACAAATGCGCTTTTAATTCACTGTTACTTGAAATCATTACATTATGGTAGAAAATATGCCATGTAACTAAAAGCTGACACGAAGTACCATGTGATTAAAGGATTACATCTTGACTGTTGAAGTTTTGGATTTTCATCTGATCTGCAGAGGGCAAAGACGGTTTTTAACAACTTCATCTTTCATTTTTACAGATGTGTCTGACTCGCGAGAAATGGCACAGAACTTATAGAAGATGCTTCAGTGAAGTTCTTCATTGCTCCTTGCTGGTGAACTTGTTAAAGAATTAACCTTCTGCAAACCTTCCCAAAGCTTGAGACTCCTCGATTCCTCATGCACTAGTGTTGCTATGGTTTTAGTTAAGTCGAGTCGTGCAGATTATTTCAGTGCATGAATGTCTTTGGGGGATATTTTTAATGATTCATAAACCATAATGTGGTTCCCAAACCTACTTTTAAAAACAGTTGTCAAGTATTATATATTCTCTTGTCCTAATGCTTTTACAATTCAGTTACCTGGTATGCTTTCTAGAAATCTAGGGTTTAAAGACCTGAAGAGTAAGGAAAGAAGCATGTGTACAGCATACATAATGATTTATAGAAAGAGGGTGTTTTAATTCTTCTGAAATGTGTCAAATTGCTGAAAGTCTCCCCTCCAGGCTTAGAGAAAAGGCAGTAAGTGAGTGGCTGCTTCAAGTGTGGTAGAAAGCTGTAGCAAAGGGACATACATTTTGAGAAAGCTGAGCAATAGTGTTCTTTAGAAAGTAATATCTAAAAGTTAGTATAAGAAAATTAATATAATTGGCCTTTGTGAAATGTTCTGCAGAACTCTGAATTTAAAAGACTTATTTGAAAAGAAATTGCTGTCTCTTTTGCTTATTTTTCCCAACATTGGGATGTACTGTACAAATGGTTTCTATGTTAGAAACTTTTGTTTCTGTTTTTTTTTTTCTCTCCCTTAGATGTTTCTAAGCTACCAACCCAACCAAGTAGTGCTTTCTGCCTTGATAAAAGATACTAAAATCAATATTAGATTAAACTATCTCATATTAAAGTTTGAATTTGAGCTGTACAAATTGGCTTTCTGCATTACTTTAATTCAAAAACAGGCTATGAGAGCAAGGAATGCAAATCAATGACCGAGTACCTTCCTAGCATGAAAGAGACCAATTTCCAGTCTAGTTAATATAGCGATCCATGCCTGTAATCCCTGCACTTGGAGATAACAACAGGAAGATCAGGAATTCAAGGCAACCCTCAGCTAAGTAAAAAGTTGAGGCTAGGCAACATGAGACCTCTGTTTCAAAAGGAGAAGAAACATTGTCTTGAAAGACCTCATTTGGGTCTCTGTTTATTACATATCACCCGACTAGGCTTTCAGTTGTCTTCATTATTCAGGTATCCTCAGCTTTATCAAAGGAATATATTCTCTTTTATGAAATGCTAGTTTAATAAACATTATCATCTTCTTTTATGAAACACTTTTATCATTCAACACTACACATTAGTACATAGATAAAAATGTACTTTTCAGTATTATAAAACAAATGGGTGCATGTGGGCCACATAATGGTGCAGTCATAATATTCCTTAATTCGAAAGTTATTTTGAGAATGCTTCTGTGTTGGAGCAGTTGCCAGGCAAAATTAAGCCTAAGCTCTGAGGCCTAAATTAATTAAACAGTCTTGTTCAGCTATAAGAAAATAAAAATGGAGCCATGGGAAATTAAAACCTAACAAGGAAAACCAATGCATTCTGGGTTTTGTTTCAGAGCACAGAGTCCCACCTGTTCTAGGCATGCAGAGGGTGTCAAAGAGTCCCCGATGCTCTGGAGGAAGCAAATTCATAAATAAGAGTCCCCAAAGCAAGTCGTTTTATCAACATTTTCTTCACATACTATTTCTGAGAGATCTAGCATCACTTTCTTCTGTGGTTGGGCAAACTGTGCATCTCTGTTCCGTAGTAACGCATTCATCCCTAGTATTCTCAATGGCAATGGTCCCAATGAAGCCAAAGAAAACAGTCATAAAAATGATAGGCATCCTCCTGAATATTAACCTTCATCAGGCGATGAAAGGAGACAGAGACAGAGACCCGCATTGGAACACCGGACTGAAATCTCAAGGTCCAAATCAGGAGCAGAAGGAGAGAGAGCACGAGCAAGGAACTCAGGACCGCGAGGGGTGCACCCACACACTGAGACAATGGGGATGTTCTATCGGGAACTCACCAAGGCCAGCTGGCCTGGCTCTGAAAAAGCCTGGGTTAAAACCGGTCTCGCTGAACATAGCTGACAATGAGGACTACTGAGATCTCAAGAACAATGGCAATGGGTTTTTGATCCTACTGCATGTATTGGCTTTGTGGGAGCCTATGCAGCTTGGATGCTCACCTTACTAGACCTGGATGGAGGTTGGTGGTCCTTGGACTTCCCACAGGGCAGTGAACCCTGATTGCTCTTTGGGCTGACGAGGGAGGGGGACTTGATTGGGGGAGGGGGAGGGAAAGGGGAGGCGGTGGTAGGGAAGAGGCAGAAATCGTTAATAAATTAAAAAAAGAAAAATATTGCATATTTTCCACGTGAATTGAGACTACATAATTTATTTTAACTCTCCCATATGCTTTTCAAAATATTTTTTATCGACAGCCAACAATAAAGCATTATGGAGGAGAGAGAGAATAGACTTCGAGAAAGCTTACAACAAATCAAACGCTCAGTTTCAGCTTTAAAGCCATTTTGATGGTCAGTTCTATTCAAGAGAGCAGCCAGTGTCATTCTTTACCACATGAGCCAACCACAACCAAGGTAGGGGCAGGTGAGACAGTCAGGACAGGATGTGCAGAATAAGAGCCAGTTTCTTAAGGCCGGAAACAGAGGCGAACTTGAAGCAAGAGAATATTCATCTTCCTAGGTGCTCTTTCCTTTTGTATATCCAGAGAAGACTCAGACACAGTATTTCCAAAAACAAGCTAAAAAGGAAAGCAAAGCAAGTTATTAGAAGGATTTTTAAAATCTTCCTTGAATAAAATAGTCTGTGGGCTCGCAAAAGAGACAAAGGTCATTTTAAAAAAAAAAGTTCAATATGGTAGCCTCTAGCTTTATGTGGGTTTAAAATTAAATGTGTTAATAATTCATGTTCTTCATTATCCTAGCCACATGCCACATTTGCAGTAGCACCCAGAGGTTAGTGACTGCCAGAATGGGTAGTATAAGTGCAAGTTCTACGGGTCACCACGCTTCTGCATTACAGTGCACGTAATACAATCCGAAGACGACATAGGCTGACATAGGAGACACACACCTCATTTCACATTTTGTGTAACTGAAATGCTCAGGAAGAAGTCATATAAGTAAAAGGTGGGACTAAATGATCCTCTGTTGATTGAGGTTTGAAAGGGGGAAGCTTAAGTTCACCTTGCAAGCCATGAAGTGATACTTAGGAGAATTATTCTTCATTCTGTTGACTGAGGGAAAAATAAGGGAGCTTAACAATCACCTTGCAAGGCACCAAATGATATTTAGATAAATTATTCTTCATCACATTGAGCCTTAATATTCTGATCACATTACACTACTTCAGACAAATAAAAAACCAAATTTGGCACCATTTCAGTTTTCAAATGCATCCACGAGTCATTTTATATCTTCAGAAGGTAGACCTGGATCTGTCCTTCTGAAAAATTGCACTCAGCTCCTGTGAAGGCGGGAGTCTATTTTCAGATCTGCGCTGAGAACATGGCCCTTTAATCCAGGCTTCCTTTAATAGTGTGTTATGGAAAGTCATCATCATCGTGCAGTTTGTTCCTCCAGATATCTTTGGGTATCTCCGTCTGGCACAAAAATAATAGCTGACACGGAGCCAAGGTTTAAATCTCATAGCAGTACAGTTAAGTTTGCCAGGGGATACAGTTTGGAGAATATTTTCGGCCAGGTTGAACGACTACCATGCATAGTACTGTTGATAGAGTCAGTTACCCCGTGCACACAAATCACCCATCAGTTTCATAAAGTTAAATTCCAGCCAGCTTAACCGCTGCTGACCCTTGATGTCTGTCTAACTCACACTTGTGTTCAGTATTGAGCAACTCTATTTAGAGCAGCTATGTAAGGGCTATAGACTAAATTTGTAAGGAAAATTATTCCAGAAGATGAAAATTCTTGCTGCCTTAAGCTGGATTTGGGGGGTCCATTTCACCTTCATGCATGGTTTTTCAGACTCATTACTTCTTAGAGGCGCCAGTGGTACTGACTTTAACAAAGAATGTGTGTTGTCTCATGAGCTAACCTGGTCATCTATTTCATATAGTCGTTATCACAACACCTTCTTGCTTGTTATCGCACAGGACCATGCTTCCATATCTCTTTGTTTAAAAAAAAAAAAACAACTTTCCTTGATGCTTATATCATTCTAGTTAATGTCAAGTGTTCCCACAGAAAAGTGGTCTTCAGAAGAGCTGTCTATACAGGCAGAACTCTATGGCTGACTGGGCAACTTCCCATCCCAGCGAGAGACATTGTCGCAAGACATAGGGTTGAGAGTGTCTGAGGAATGACAACTGAGACTGTCCTCCAGTCTCTGTACAAACTGATGCTTGTATTTGCCTGTACTCACGTACATATATACACTACACACATGAACACATAAACACATACAGGAACTGTCTGTTGTCTGTGGTTCCAATTGTTTTACCAGGCCTTTTTTAATAAGATGTTGGCCCCTTATTAAGGTTCTTTGCTCCTGGACTCACAGGTAGGTATTGACTCTCATCTTCCTGGAGCTATCACAGTTCAGATGCCCCGAAGTTTCTTGAGATGTGCTTGAACTTGGCTTCTATGAATTTTGTCCTTCACTGTTTCCTTCATTAGTATCTGCTTCTAACCAACCCTTTTTACCAATTCTCTCTCAGTTTCACACTTCTGCTCTTTATCTGACCTGAGTTGCAGTTCTGAGATAGCTTCCCTCTGTATGGAGCATCGCTCCATGAATGGTCTCAGCAAAATGACACATGTGAATTTGTTGATAAATGTCAAATTTACACATCCCATTTGAGCTTCTTTCATAAATTTCAAAATCATCTATTTGCTGAAGTCACTACCAGCACAACTTTGCTACCCATGATGTACTAAGGTTAAAATACTAGTGGGAGAGACAGGATTCTCCAACAATTTCTTAGGCCATTTGATATTTTCGACGGTCCCCAGCCCCGTTCCATTAGAATGAGGATCACTCAGTAAGTTCTAGAAGGGAAAGGCCTGCTGCACTCCTTTAACCTTTTCCTATCTTGCTGTGAGGACACAGAACGCAGTGCCCCACATAACGTATTGACAAAACCAACTGCCTGGATACCAGCTCGGCTGCATTTTCCAACATTTTAAATAATCATTTCTGTTCCTTTGTATTGGCATAAGTTTTGATTTACAGGACAGTTTGAAATTAGTACCGAGAAACCACGGATATCCCATAAAGCAAATTTCTCATCCCAGTCAGAATAGGTATCATCAAGGAAACAAAAAGAGCAAAATGTCTGAGATTACATACAAAATAATGAAAATGAGCATGCTGTAGAGATGCCTATACAGCCATGTTCTCACTGCAATAGTCACAATAACCAGATTATGGGATCACTGAAGTCTTCACTACATGCACACACACGCGCACACACACGCACACACACACACACACACACACACACACACACATGCACATTTGGAGGGAAGTGAGGAGAGAAAGAGTAAGCAGAGAAAGAATGCAGACTTGCATTTAGCCAAAAATAAAGAAATTCTATAATTTCCACTTAAATAGATGAAAACGGAGGTTATTGTTTTAAGCAAAATAAACCCATTTTAAAATGGCATTAAGTAAGAGCTGGAATAAAAATTTCTTGGGGAAAATTAAACTAAGAATATTGAGTTTAAGAAATATTTAAACTGCTTTCAAGAAAGGTTTTATAAGTTTCAGATGAGGAAGCAAAATAAATATTTTAAGGAAATACTTGTATAAAAAATAGTTGATAAGCTTTCTTGATTTTTTTTAACTTTTTCTTTCTTTCCTAAAATGAAAACTGAAAACAAACAAACAATAAAATATCCTTGCAAAAGAGACCTTGACCCTTGAGATGAAAACTGTCTCAGTAGTTTAAGACAAAATGAAACTTTTGAGTTTGAAGAGAGCTGGGAAAGCTGTTCAATTCACAAGAATTTTCCTAAATAAGACACATGTCCACACTTAAGAATAGAAAAACAAAAATCTCGGGAAGGGTGGACAGGGAAATCCTAGAAACTAAAAAGTCCTAAGAAAACCCACTCTCCATTTTCAGGAAATGCCCTTATTACGTGGCCAGCAAAATTTCAGAACTACTGTCTCTGTCGCCTGTTTTCCTTTATGATGCAAAGTAGAAACCCACAAGCCTCCTTAATAAAGCTAAAGTTTCCTCCCCTCCCATCCTTTCTCTACTTTATCGCATACTACGTTCTCCTTTACAGTGATTACCAGTTGCATGATTTGAGGCCTGTAATCTAATCTTCATAAAACACAGTTTTCTCATATATAAAATAGTCAAAGCAATTATAAAGAATAAAATAATAATTATGGAGCATTCATTGGAATGCATTTTCATGTAAGTTCACGAAGTACTTATCACATGCCGTGTAACATTCTAAATTAAGTAAAATAAATTGGTCCTAACAATCCATGAAAATTATTTTATATAAAAAGTCCCATTCATAAGAAATTAATTGTCTGAGGTCATACAGATATGAATTATCAAAGATAAGATCTGAACTCAAGCCACCTGGCTCTGAAGCTTAAAGTCTTATCTATTGTATTTTGAAATATTGCGATATTAATTGGTTGGTTTGTGTTAAGTTGTTAATATTATCTTATCTTTTCCTTTTTTAGTAGTATTGTAGCAATATGTTCTAATAGAGTTAAAGACAAATTAGGGTGTTGATCAGAAAAGTCAAATATACCTTAAAAAATTCACATCACTAAGGAACTGGAGAAACAGATGTAATCGTTACTCTTTCGAAAATAAGAACCCTGTTAGCAATAAGCAAAAAAATCCTGTTAAGCATATGAAAAACTAGTGATTCAAGAGAATAATTTTCCAAACTGCATCAAATCTATGCTTATAACAAATATTGTATCAATGGGGTGTCTATTTATGTAAAGAAAAAGTTAAGTTATGTTAAAAACTTGGCTATTTCTGCTTTCATCATCCTGACTTCAGTCCTTAAGCCAAAATAGGAATAAGAGATGAGGATTTGAAGCACTACAGACTTCTCTCATTTAAACCTGAAATGTTTCACTCACTGTTGCCACCATCACAGGGTTGGGTACACTTGTACTCGGTCACTATCGTTAGACGCTTTTCTTAAAAACATCATCTTTATCTCAACGAGAGGACTGAAAACTGTCAATATTATCCTTTTATTAATAGAACTCTTCATCAAAAGAATCTTTTGGAAGTCATTTTTACAATGGAAATAAAAGCTTACCTCTTTTATTAGGACGGGAAGAGGATAGGGTGCCATCTACAGCATCTGTGGCGTGGGTCAGTTCAGCAGTCTTTCCCTCCATAAACTGTTCTTTCAGTTTTTTTAGCTATGAAATATTAAAGAAGAGGAAGATGAAAGAACCAAAACAACCAAAAGGAAGTAAGAAAGATAAAAGAAAAGGCATAAGAAAAAAATTAAAGATAAATGCATAAAGCCCAAAAGACTGGCATTCAGAAGTTGTCTGCAATAAGTATGAGAGTTATTAAGAAATCAGAAAGAAACAGGTTGGGGCTATTTGAATAAGAATGCCTTGATAGGCTCATATATTGGATGTTTAGGAAGAGTTGGGAAGACGCTACCTTGTGGAAGGTGATGTGCTACTAGGGTTGGACTTTAAAGTTTTAAAAGCCAGTATCACTCTCGCTCTCTCTGACCACTATTTATGGGTCAGATATGATCTCTCAGCTACTACTGCCTCAGTACCATGCTTGTCTGCCTGCTACCATGCTTCCTGAGATGATGCTCATGGACTCACACTTTGAAACTGTAAACAAATCCCCAATTAAACACCCCCTTTTATAAGTTTTTTGGGTTATGCTATCTCTTCACAGCAATAGGACTGTGACTAATATGCTAGGTATTTACAAATAAAGTCAGCTTAGGTGTAGCCTTGGTAGCTCTATTTAACTTTATGTCCCTCATATAATCAATCAATCCTCACAAATAAACTCTAGAGAATTGTGTGATTGCTTGGACTTCCAGGAGACCTTTTCCATTCTAGAAAAAAAAAAAAAAGATGTATTTCAGGCCTTATAGTTTTCACCCAGCATTCAACCTAACCTTAATATTTAACAAGTTCTCCAAACACATAGCCACTACAGAATCACTCTATCAGTGTAGGGTTGGTGTACATATTGCATGTACACAGGTTCTTGCTCCTGTGTACATGTGAAGAGAATGATGGGCCCAACTCTGTTTCCAAATGTCCAAACCCTTTGCTTGATGATGGAACTGCACCAAATTGTATTTGAAGGAGATTAGAAATTGTATAATTCAGTCATTAAAATACTCTTTATGAGATATTTAGGAGAGAAAACGAAACTGACGGAGAGGGTGGGGCTCCTTGTCAAGAGGGCAGAACTTCAGTTTTTCAAACAAACTGCTAGAAGCCAAGTTACATGTTTCTTTTTCTGTTTCTCCCATGGTTAATTTTCTGAAACCACATAACTTCTTCCAGCAGGAAGTAAAATTCCACTATTTAAAAACTGTAACTTCGGAAAACACCAAGTTATATCCTCGGGTTTTACAGATGACAAACTCAGAGAATTTTCATTATTCCAGTGTCTCATGGTTAGGCCACTGGTATCATCACAATTGCTGTAGTGTGTGTGTGTGTGTGTGTGTGTGTGTGTGTCATTTTGCCTTACTATAACTTGTTGTCCACTTGTTGTCTGTTTCTTGAAAAATTACTTTCTTTTTCTAGTGGAAATATAACTTTTACACTGTAATAACAATACTTCTTGAAAAATTATGTATCAAAAATGTATCTGGTAAGAGTTCTTAAAATTGAGCATTGAACCATTTGGTACTCTCACCTGTTTAAGGTCTTCTGGGCTAATGGGCAGATCTACACCTGTAAGAGACATTGTCGAGTGAAAAACATACCATGGGTAGCATTTAATTCACTTCAGGATATGCATCTATGCTCACAATGGAAGGCAATTATCTTTTTCATGTTTCAGGACTGCCCTCTCATTCCTAATGGAGAACACTAAAGATATTTCTAATGTGTATAATGCTGAACCACAATAACCTATAGCACAAAAAGCACCTATGTCTGCCTACAAGCACATTAAAATTCTCACATGGAATAAAATGCACTTTTAATATTTTAGATAACTCTGTGACTTGTATCATGAATGTCTGACAGTGGTCTTCACTGAAGGCTTCTGTATAGCATCTAAGCTAGTGAAGCCCTGGATCTGGGAGGAGAACTTACATATTCCCACTTTACTAACCTGGCATGATCTCTAACTGCATTCTAAATATTTGTCCTTAGACCCAATGATAAGTTCAGTCCTCACCCCTCAACAAGAAAACTTCTGTTTGCCATGGGCGGAGACCACTACAGAAAATCACAACTAATCAAACTATTCCTGCAAAACACTCCCACACCTAAGATGTAGGGAACTGAGGAAGAGGAGGCAGAAAGATTGCAAGAGCTAGAGGATCATAAGGGAATTTGCTGTGAGACCCCGATTCTGCTGTTTTTAACAAGGTCTTGTTCTTGACTCACCGGCATGGGAGGGCCTCTGGAAACCGGGGTGGTGGCTCAGCAGAGCCAGCAGTAGTTTCTCTTGAATTGTGTGTTCGTTAGCTGGAAACAGCTCATGTCCTGTAATAATCAAATGTCAACGTGGTTAATGAGTCACTGAATGTGCCTCTAAGTCATTGGGATTTGTAGTCAACTCAACACTTATATTCACCAATGTTAGAGGGTAAGGGCCGACTATGATTCAAATGGCAGACCATTCTAAAACCTGGGGCGTGGGTGTGCACATCCTGAGAGACAGCCAAAGAGAAACAGGGGTAGTGGGACTGCAGGAGAATTTTATTGTCCTTTCTATGAGTTTCTTCCTTAACCATATGCAACGGCTTTGAACATATGAACTAAAAGTTAATTTTAAAAGAAGAGCATAACATTTTATTCTGTGATTCTATTTGATGTGTTACATTTAAACATGAGACATTCTGTGGTCTGGAGTTTCCTTTAAATTACTTGAGGAAGAGCGAGTGTCAGCTTATTCAATATAGGCTTCTTTCCACTGTCCTGGATGTACCCGACAGGTATTTAGGGCTTAGGTCTACACACACCTCAGCATAATATATGTTTATATTCTGGAGTATAAATTGGGACAACAGACTTCATTCCAGCTGCACAATATGAGTATTCAAAAACAATGAACTCACATGAAAACCTTAAAAATCAAAAGTTGTTTCATATATTCCAGTTGATTCTTAAATCCAATAGTCTATTTTCCCTCTTACCTCCTCACTCTCATCATTACTGTGTGGGCAGGAAGTAGGTTAACAAGGGCTCGCTGCAGTAGGTGTGCGAGCTTAGCTGACCTCAACAGTTGAAAGTGATGATTGCTCTTATAGCTTCAGTGAAGGAAATGTGTCATAACTTGACTAAATTATTTCCTAAATACACACACAGACACAGTGAGAGTGAGAGATCTTGGGCCTGAAGAGATAGCTCAATGACTAAGAGTTCTTGCTGCTCTTGCAGAAGACCCCCATTCAGTTCCCAGCACCCATACAATGCGACTTATCACCTCCTGTAGTTCCAACTCTGGGGGATCTAATGCTGACTTCTGTATTCTACTCACAAAATTGTACTTTCCCTCTGTCTGTCTGTCTATCTATCTATCTATCTATCATCTATCTATCTATCTATCTATCTATCTATCTATCTATCTATCCCTATCTCATGTTTAAAGTATTGTAATGATAAATCTTTTAAAAAGAACACATTTTCTTTTCTTGCTCCTTGATGGGAAGCTGTGCTTTGCATTATGTTCTGTGGATGTTAAGTAGAACGTTTTCCTAATCAAGACAAATTGATTACCTTTGACAGTTTTGTTTCCGGTGACTACACCTGTGTGATGTTTGTTCTCAGAAATCCTTTCCTGCCTAAAACAACCACCATTTACAGGAATCTCGTAAGAAAAGAAGTTTGGGAAGATTTTTTTTAAACATCATGTCTAAGGAAATTAACATGAAAGTAGGGAAAAATATTAAAACAATCACATTTCCATCTTAGACTCTATTTTTAGCTTATAAACTATAACTATAGCTTTAAAAAAAGTTGTTCCTTTAACACACTTCCATGTTACTCAATGAACAATGTTAACATCGAATAAGAAAATGTCTGCATAATAAGCATCTGGATGCAGAGGTGGCTTTGCCACAGGAAAAGATAAAGTGCTCAGGCAGGCGAGTGTGAGTGATAGACAAAGACAGAAAATACGGATCCATTACCACTCCAGGGCTCAGCACGAACAAATGGTTTTCTTTTGCTCACAGGAATGTGTGAAGCTTTCAAAAAACAGAAACAAAAATTCTACCAGAAAGAACACTAGAAACTTCCCAGATGATGATATGGCAAATAGCTCCTGCAGGCCTTTGTGGTTATGTTGTCCGTTCTTCCTTTTCTAGTAAACTAGTTGTGCACTTTTTAACTGAGGCATGCTAAAATATTGTCCCTTGAATAAAAGCTAGCATCATTGAGCTACTCATTGTGGATATTTAATATATATGGGGAAAATTTGTTTTATTCTTGAAATACGTAGAACAGAAAATGATGCCACTTCAAATTAATCATCTTCATTTATGTTCATTGATTCTGAGATCCAAGAGGGTCTCGGAGAGATACCTTTCCATTATGCTGCTGGAGACACTTGAAAATCAAGTCATCTGTGGAATCTTGAGGTCAGAGGCGATGTTTATGAATCTTTTTAATGTTTTAGAGTTGCATATGTATTTTTATGTTTCTCAGAGGCTCTAGCAGAGTTGCAATGACCAGTAACACATATGATGGCTGCAAAGTCTTCAACAGATCACTACAGCGTTACTCACATATTTATACCATGCCAGAACCACCAGAGATTTCATTAGTTTGCAGAGACCAATAGCGACCTACAAATACAATGATTTGGATGGAGAGAACAAAGTGGGGAAGTCACCAGTAGAATACAGAGTCTGCAAGACCCACCCTTGGAATTGCTTCTAGTGGTATTCACCTGCCAATAGGAAAATCTTCATGAGAGAAGTAAGCTTTGTTGGTTTTTAAAAACACAGTAGAAGTAACAGAGGTACAGTAAAGGTGAATTAGGTCCCAAAATGAGAAAGCTGATCCCTTTTCTTCCCTTAATGTCACAGAACATTTACTGAAGTCCCTTCTACTTCCAGCTGTGAGTAATAAAGTCTAGGGCCTTCCTGGCCAGGGTGTAGGTTAGAGAAAAGAAAAAGGAAAGCCCCCAGTTTCAAGCCAGAAGGGATAATATTTTATCAACAGTATATTTAAGTCACTACTTTTGTTTTATTAAGTCATTATTTTTAAAATGAAAAAAATTTACTAGTGTTTCAGAAGTGAACTTGTTTGTGTCATAAATTACCACTAAATGTAAGCTGATGGCCAAGCTGAACAGGCAGTTTGCATACATTGGAGTAACATTTTCAAAGAAAGCAGCCCCTAAATCCACTTTCACTGTCTTTATAATGGTATGTTTTTTTTAAATGATATCACAGTTACACTGTTTCCTTAATGTGCATACTATGGACTTAGTGACCCAGACAAACTCAAATCAATATCTAACCTGAGTGTTGCGCCCACCCCAGGCGTTCCCCGCCTCTCTGCTCTGCAAGAACAGTTTTATCTTCTACTTTCTCCAAGGTGCACCTTTCATGAGCATCCACCTAATAATCTCACATGAGAGAAGTCTTCTCCTTTCTCCAGGGCACTTCTGGAATAGGACTGACTCAACAGCTTTTTACACATTCCAAATCTCTGACCATATAGTACAAATTAAAATAAATGCCTGTGACTAGAAATGTGTTTGTGTGTTTGTGTGTGTGTGTCTGTGTGTGTGTTTGTGTGTGTGTGTGTGTCTGTGTGTGTATGTGTGTATCTGACGTTAATTTAGTACAACACCAGGCAAAGTTGACACGATTTGCCAGAAAGGAAAGCTCCACAGAATATGTTCAGTTCAGAACAGCAGCTACTTAAAGAGGGTGCATTGATTAACTTATATTACTGCTTTAAAGAGTTATTTCTGCAATAGCAGAAAAGTAAATGAAATAAATCCAACGATGAGGATCACTCACCAACCTGTAGGGCTTTAGATTCGTGCACACATACCTGCGGTCAGAGGTTGTCTTCCATGTGCAGATTTTAAAAGGTTCATCACACACAGTAAAGCCAGGAGTCCGAAGCAGAGAGAGGTTGAGAAGACCTTCATGTTGAAAATCTCCTGTCCTAACAAAGAAACCCAATTTTCAGGTCAAGGCAGATACCCCAATGGCTGTCGATTGCAGCAGAGCCTGCCTGAAAAAGGCGAGTGTGATCCAAGCATGAGTATCCTACAAAGGGAAGAAATTTATAAAATGGAATGCATCCTGTCACCGTGATTCACTGCCTGGAGAAGTGACAGACTGGCCCCACGTTCAATGGGAGGAAGAGCCAGATCGATACATCTTGTACCTGCCCATTTCACTAAATGCAGGCATTCTTATGTATGATCACGCAATCAAACACATGCTGCACAAGCCCACAGCAGTTACTAGGGAAACAGAACGTGTATGGAGAGTTTTCATAAACTTTTGTTTATTTTCCTTGTTGTAGCATTAATTATCCTGAGATACTAAGCTTGAGAACACAAAAAGCGGGTAAAAGTGGGACCAATTTGACTAATTTAGAGCCAACTGATCATATCCTTAATAGCAGCATAACCTCCATCACATTTTTAACCAGCCCAAAGGATGAAAGCTGCAAAGAGCTCGGGTTTGAAATGCATTGCTGCACTAGAGAAGGATGGTTTTGTTCTGCTACGAGCAGCACTTTCTTAAATCAAGACTCAATTTAATTAATTCAGAGCTGGCAAGCGTCCCATCAATTACTCTCTTTAATAGTCGCCTTAATTGAGGTGGTTTCATTTTAAGTCAGAGTATTTCAATATATCCAGAATTCCGATTTAATGGCTCTAGGGGTGCTGTAACGACCTCTAGTTTTGGCATTTGCTTCTCCTAAGAGAACGCATCACACACAGCTGATACTGTTCCAAGTGGACACAGTGGACTCAAACAGGGCAAATACCAAAAGGTTTGTTATCCACCAGTATTGTTGCTATCCAGTTCATTTGATATTTTCCAGAATGGCCTGAACTACCCGTTTTAAAATCCAAGCATGTTCTTTCACGGGCTCATTTTCCAGTCGTCATTTTTGAACCCGCCCCATATTCTTTGTCCCGGAGCTTTGTTGACACTTTTCTGGCTGACTGGTGCCCTTTGTTTCCTGACTGTTTTCCCTGCTCAATTCAGAAGCCACTGACCAATGCCACCCACTCCAAGACTTTAGAGTCTTTGTTCATTCATCTTACTTTGAGTTATGATATTTGTCTCATCCTCTGGACTGTATACATCGCAACCCATAGTCCCTTCCTCTGTTACTACCACTGTGTGTTTGTGTGTTTCCCTCCACTTCTAAACTGGGAAGATTTCCAGAGACATCCTATACATTTCTGCCCCTTTAAATCATTTCAGTCAGTTGAGGAGGATATGAAAGAGAGCACACTGGTGTATGAATAAGTAACTGCGTTTCCAGGTAATTGAAAAGAAAAGAAAATGGGATTACATTCCTCAACTTTGTAACTGGTTAAAAAAGGTAAAAGGGTTGAAAGAATAACTGTGATTCTTCTTTGCTTATTGTTAAGGCTCAAAGTTTAAGAATGCTCATTGTTTGAAGTATGATCCTACTACCTTATCATACCACTGTGTTTCAAAATTGTCATTCAATAAACCTCATGTCTGAAGTCTGTTTTAAAAGTTATGGAAAGAATAAAAATATTCATCAGTATCATTTTGTCAAGAGGATGTACAGATATGATTATCAAATAGTGTTATTCCAGGACAAATGTTAAAAGACATGTAAATAATAAAATAGAAAATAAACTCTCAAAAAATAAACTAATAATTAAAAATGAAAACTTCTGATTAACTATTACAATGAAATCATAAAGTTAAATGTAAATGGTTTTTAAATATATCTTAAAGATATTTAAATTACTTGCATTTGTATTTGAAAGTATTTAAACTTACATTTATATTTTAAAATATAATGTAAGTAAATCTTATATTTAAGTATAAAAAAAGATTTTATTCTAACCTTTAGTGTAAAATTCACCAGGAATCTCAATTCTGAAGATATTTTCGTTAATTTTTTTTGTTGCTGTTACCTGTGTGTGTCTATGTGTGTGTATATATGTACGTGTATGTGTGTGTTGTTGTTGTTGTTGCTGTTGTTGTTGTTGAAGAGCAAACCCAGGGCTAAGTAGCTAACCGCTCTCCCATTGAAATACATCATGGCCTGTAAGTACGATCTTCAAAGTTGCAAGCTAATTTTGACTATGGTGATTCACTTCTAAACAGATGAGTTTTCTTCAGGTTTTTTTTTTTTTTTTTTTTCTTTTTCGAGACAGGGTTTCTCTGTGGTTTTGGAGCCTGTCCTGGAACTAGCTCTTGTAGACCAAGCTGGTCTCGAACTCACAGAGATCCGCCTGCCTCTGCCTCCCAAGTGCTGGGATTAAAGGCGTGTTTTTTGTCACACAAATATTTGATTTAGTAAGCTTAATGCAAACTCAACAAATCTTTTCTCCTGTCATATTTACTTGATATTGACAAAGCAAAGAAAAAATCATTCTCAAGCTGCCTTTCATAGAAAGGGAAATATTTCCCTACATGAGTGAAGCCCAAGTAGGCTCATGACCATCAGATACACTTTACAACAAACCATAAATGGAATTCATAACGACGAAAAGAAAGTACATGGATAGATTGAGGTAAAAGTATGAAGCTCTTTATAAAAAAAAGAAACCATTCCTGGATGTAGCATTGTTGACTGAGGTTTCTGTCTTGTCTGGTTCCTGCAGTCATTAAGTCCCAAAGAAATCACACAGAGGTCTACATTAGTTATAAACTGATTGGCCTAGTAGTTCAGACTTCTTATTAACTCTTATAACTTATACTAGCCCATTATTTTTGTCGGTACCTTATTCAGCAAGGCAGTCACATCTTGCCTCTTCTGTGGCTGGGTTATAACTACAGACTGCAGAATCCTCTTCCCAGAATTCACCTGTTCTCATTGCCCTGCCTCTACTTCCTGCATGGTTGCCTTGCCTATACTTCCTGTCTAGCTATCAGCCAATCAGCATTTTATTAAACAACTACAAGAAACAGCTGTTTACCATTGTCCCACGGCAATACCCCCCATACACACTTTTTATTTAAAGAACAAGAACTCTGAATCTAATATCCTTTGTTTAGCTTTTCCCTGACCATTATCCATAACAACTTGTAACCAACATTTTAAACAAAGGAAAATATCCATAGTCCATTTTGGGGGACTCTGGTTGTAGTTTCCTAGTCTAGTTCCTGCTGAATTGGGCCGCTGATAATCTATGGGGACCTAAAGAAAATTTAGAATTATGATCAAGTCATGACTGGAGTATCCTGTGAGGCTTGATCATTTCAGCCAGTAGTCTTGAGGTTTTTCTGGATGTAGAACTCAGACTTCTGGGTCATCCGCTCCTATGAGAGATTTCTAAGGGGGTCTTTCTTGATCAAACGTTATTTTTCTTAGCCCAGAATAAACACATAGCTTCCCATTTCCTGTGCAAACAAAAGCAAAATCCAACATGGTAGACTAAATCCATGTAAAACCTGAGAGGGCTTAAAAAGGAATTCTACACACACATACAAAATGCAGAGTTTAACACAACTTCTTGCTATTTTCTGGCAGCATGCTACAGCTCCAATAAGAGAGGTTTTTCTGTTTCAGCCATAGTAAAAAAAAAAAAAAAATGCAGGGTAGTTTTTAAATGTGGCTTCCTGGGCTGTGCTGCCAGCACAAACTCAGGCTATGGTGCATTTAAATGGCATTTGTGGGCCCAGGTGTTTGTGTGCCCACTCAAGGTTGGGAGGAAAGTAGCTGAGACCATGCCCATGGCTTTATGCTCCCTGCCTGGGCAGGCAACGTGATTAGGTGTACTAGATTTGCACAAGCAGGAGAGTATGGCGGATTCCCACCACCATACACAGAGCTAATTCTAGGCTGTGCAGTGCTCTGCATGGCAGATTTAGCTATTACTCAGATAAAAAGGGTTTATGTGCTGCATGCTCATTCTCAGAGTTAAAGTGCTAAGTGCAGCTCCTTCCTGGAGACCCTAAAGCCTCCACCATTTTAATAAAAGTGGAGAGAGGTGGAGCCAGCATCCAGAGCAGCTACAACCAAGCTTCTTACCATTTTAAAAGCTCTTCAAGACAGTAAAGAATTACAGATATGCAATAAAGACAAATCCAGATTTTTTTAAAAAAAAAAAAAAGACCTCTAAATGGTTCACAGTGTTGGATAAATGTATGTAAGCTTAGGAGAGAGAAGAAAAAGAGTACAGAGAATCATAAAAGGAAGTTAGTGGTTAAAAAAAGGGTAAAGTCTTTAAAGTGACAGAGTACAGAAATAATGGAGTAAAAATAACTAAGCCATGAAAAGATGGAATATACACAGTCTGGATTATGTATGTTATTGTGTCTTCTTTGAATTTTTTGACAGTGAAAGAGCTAAGTACAGAGAGACATTTCATTGTATGAGCTGCTGCTCTAAACCAGCATGTATATTATACAGGTATCATGACTTCCAAATTTGGATCTAAGGATATGTTACATTGGAAAAGAGGTTCTTCTCTTGTTGCCTCAGTGGATGAGAACCTGTGGATTGCTTCCAGACTGGTATATATAGTATGATGGAACAAGAACCCCCGAAAGGTTGCCATGAACACCCTCAAAAATTACTTCACCCAACTGTTGACTGAGATGAACTTAGCACACAGGATACACCATGAAAGACCTGATTAAAGTGCCCTCAAACAGTAGGAAGAATTTTGGACAAAACTACGCCCATATTCCCAAATATTGTTTGTAAGTGCTTCTTTACATTTAAAGGGGGATATGCTATAGAGATTTGCATTGGTGTGGATCTTGGTTTATTGATGAAATTTTAAGGTTAATCTTGCTATATGTATATTTCTGCTCTTGATTAAGGTATTGTGATTGTGCAGTTCATTTAAAAGAGGTAATGTATAATGTAATATAGATTAACAATCATCTATAATAGTCAAGTTTGTAGTCATGTTGGTTGGATTTTCTAGATGTATGGAGATATATTTCAGTTAGATAGCTATTCTTCAAA